AACGTAGCCTTAGTGTCCCTCACGACTAATGAACTTCAGAAGTAATGTTTGGATCCTGTCATGATCATTTCGGGCTCTTCTTCTCTGAACTTCTGGTACTTTAATACAACAGATTCTGTGCTGAAATGGGACCCAACATGGTTCTGTCGATGTTCAGGAGGACACATGAGGGTTTTGTCATCTCCATTCATGAATCTCACATACACATCACCGTGTTCATCTGAACACTCTGAAATATTCCCAATGAACCACCTGATGTCATAAATACATGCTCTGTACTGACCTGGTACACAGAGATATCTGCACAATCTCATTTTGTATTTCAGAAACTGACACTTCAGTACATAAAAGATCTTGAGATTTTCTCCTCATTTCTAGTTTACCATTTGACTGTGGAATCAAACTGTGGTGTGATCTAGTACCATTCACAGTCTTTGTCTTGCTGTAGCTCTTCAAGTTTGGAAGTAAGTTCATGGTTTGTAATGTCTTTAGAGCTTGTAAATAAAAACTTTACATTCTTTATGTTTTGTGAAGTTCACATCTGGAGTGTGGTCAGTATTTGATTGTTGTCAGTTGTGTGAAGACTGGTCCTTGCAGCCGAGCGTTTTACTGTGCCACCAAAACCATCACAAACAATGTACCACAAATAATCTCCAACTGTCTTCTCTTATAACATGCAAATAGTGTTTAAGTTTATTAAAGGTAACTGAATCTTTCTAGCAGGTGGAAAAGTACCTAAACTCCACCAAAAATGACCTGTGAGAGTCATTTTCAAAAATTCCATTTGAAATGAAGGAAGTTAATAGCAGATGTTTTTATTACTTTAAACTCATCAGAATATGTCAAAGTTTCTCTGGTAAAAATTTGATCAACATCTAATTGTGTCCACATGGGGAACTGAGGCTCCAAAGAAGGGGCCAAAAAGATCAACATTTGGTTTGTGATCATATTTGGGGCTCTACACCGTCCACATGAAAGCTCAGAAAGGTGTGAGATTGTTGTCAGAAATGCTCATTCTCTCAAATATTCAAGTTCAACAGTTAGTTTGTAAATATCTGCTTGGAGTAAATAGATCTTGGACCTCAAAAACTGAAAAAAAAAAATTGAGCTGCAACCAAATGTGAGATTTTGGGGCCCACAGTGCCCTCCTTAATAAAGATACACAATATTTGACAACAGATTCAGAATCTATGACCAAGAATCTACAATAATCCACATTTTCAGCTTCCTAGCTCTAGTTTTTATGAAGTTCTGATTTCTCAAACATGCTTGTAAATTAAGGCTTCAGAAAAAGTAAACATGACCCCAAAATTTCAACGGGCCAAAACTGAGGACTCACGACTCCAGGGATTGGGCGAAAAATGTGAGATTCATTCCTGTGGTCATTTTAGACAGATTTGAGATGGCTCACAGGGGAGATTTCTTCAAAACATCTGATTTCACACGTACTGACCCAGTGGGAAAACATTTAGTTCTGGTAAGTAAAATTCACAATAAAGGTTCATTATGTAACTTTCTAGTGGGGTCTGCTACTATGTCATGTTATTGTTTGGCCTAAAATGTTCCTCACTGTGACTTTAAATGATTACATCTGAATCAATTACAAGTGTTTTTATTGCTGAAAAAGAAGTTTTGAAACACACGTTCTTATTGTTTCACAGATCTGACCTGTAACTTGACCTAGTGACCTCTCCTCCTCTCTCCTCTTCTATGTCTCATCCTCTATCTCTCTCTTCTCCTCTGTCTCTCTCCTCCTCCATTTCTCTCTCCTTTCTCTCTTCTCTCCTCCTCTATCTCTCTCTGTCTTCTATTTCTCTCTCTCCTCCTCCATCTCCTCCTCTCTCCTTGTCACTCTCTCCGCCTCTATCTCTCTCTCCTCTATCTCTCCTCTCCTCATCTCTCTCTCTCCTCCTCTCTCTCCTCTCTCTCCTCTCTCTCTCCTCTCTCTCTCTCCTCTCTCTCTCTCTCTCTCTCCTCTATCTCTCTCCTCTCTCTCTCTCTCTCTGTCCTCTATTTCTCTCTCCTCCTCCATCTCCTCCTCTCTCCTTGTCTCTCTCTCTCTCTTCACTCCTCTTCTATCACTCTCCTCCTCTCTCTCTCTGTCCTCTATTACTCTCTCTCCTCTCTCTCTCCTCTCCTCCTCTCTCTCTCTCCTCTTCTATCTGTCCTTTCCTCCTCTATCTCTTCTGTCACCTCTCTCTCCCCTCTCTCCTCTTGCCTTGTCTTCCTCTCCTCTCTCTCTCTCTCTTCTCCTCTTTCCTTGTCTCTCTGTCCTCTCTCTCTCCTCCTCTATCTCTCTCTCCTCCTCCATCTCTCTCTCCTCCTTTATCTCTCTTTCCTCCATCTCTCTCCTCTTCAATCTCTCTCCTCCTCTCTCTCTGTCCTCTATTTCTCTCTCTCCTCCTCCATCTCCTCCTCTCTCCTTGTCTCTCTCTTCTCTATCTCTCCTCTCCTCATCTCTCTCTCCTCCTCTATCCCTCCTCTCTCTTCTCTCCTCCTCCATCTCTCTCTCCTCTATTTCTCTCTCTCCTCCTCTATCCCTCCTCTCTCTTCTCTCCTCCTCCATCTCTCTCTCCTCCTCTCCTCTATTTCTCTCTCTCCTCCTCCATCTCCTCCTCTCTCCTTGTCTCTCCTCTCTCTTCACTCCTCTTCTATCACTCTCCTCCTCTCTCTCTCTGTCCTCTATTACTCTCTCTCCTCTCTCTCTCTCCTCTATCTCTCCTCTCCTCCTCTCTCTCTCCTCTTCTATCTGTCCTTTCCTCCTCTATCTCTTCTATCACCTCTCTCCCCCCTCTCCTCTTGCCTTGTCTTCCTCTCCTCTCTCTCTCTCTTCTCCTCTCTCCTTGTCTCTCTGTCCTCTCTCTCTCCTCCTCTATCTCTCTCTCCTCCTTTCTCTCTTTCCTCCATCTCTCTCCTCTTCAATCTCTCTCTCCTCCTCTCTCTGTCCTCCTCTCTCTCCTCTCTCTTCTCTCCTCCTCTATCTCTCTTTCCTCTATTTCTCTCTCTCCTCTTCTATCTGTCCTCTTCTCCTCCATCTCTTCTGTCACCTCTCTCTCCCCTCTTGCCTTGTCTTCCTCTCTCTCTCTCTCTCTCTCTCTCTTCTCCTCTCTCCTTGTCTCTGTCCTCTCTCTCTCCTCCTCTGTCCTCGTTTCCGTAGAGAACTATTCTTCATGTCCTGTGGTGTAACATTCAGCTCCATCCATCATCCACTCAGTGCACCTTTCATTTGTACCATAGACATCCATACACATAAATGATATATTAATGACTGTGAGTAATTATTGACATCAGAGCATTTTATTAAACCAATATTCATGAGTACAGATGAGGGGCAGATAAACCCACGATTGTTAAAAAGCAAAATGATGTTCTTGGAAATACCAGGTTCAACATTTGTGAATTGACCTTTTGGAGATTTCACTGGGAAAGTCCATTGTGACCAAATATATTTATCTTGTCCTCCATTTGAGAGAATGACATTTTCACAACCTCGAAAGGCCAAACTTACCCACTGAGCCAAAAAGTGCCGCCCCCTGTTGAGCAGCAACGATCAGATCTTTAAATCCGTGTGTCAGTCGTTCATTCATTTTTCAATATAAAATAAAAAATAAGAAAACAAACAAACAAAAAAACTGTTTTCTTCATTATTTGTCTCCAAAACCAACTGATTGATTGATTGATTTTGAGTTTAAATGAATAATGGACAAAAAACCCAAACAAAACAGATAACGGCCGTTTCCTGTTTCTGTGACTTAAACTGCAAAGCCGGACTGAACCAGGACTAAACCAGGACTAAACCAGGTCCGATCAGACCGGGACCAGACCAGAAGTGAGACCAGGACTTAGACCAGGACCAGGACTGAGACCGAGACTGGGGCTGGGACCAGGACTGAGACCTGAACCGAGACCGAGCCTGAGACCAGGACAAGACCAGAACAGAGACCAGGACTGAGACCGGGACCAGGACCAGGACTGGACTGAGACCGGGACTGAGGCCGAGACCAGGACCGGGACTGAGACCAGGACTGAGACCGGGCCTGAGACTGGAACCAGGACAGAGACCAGGACTGAGATGGGACTGAGACCGGACCTGAGACTGGGCCTGAGACTGGGACCAGACAGGAACAGAGACCAGGACTGAGACCAAGACTGAGGCCAGGACCAAGACTGAGACCAGGATCAGACCAGAACAGAGACCAGGACTGAGGCCGGGACCAGGACCAAGACTGAGACTGGGACTGAGACTGGGACCAGACCAGAACAGAGACGAGGGCTTATACCGGGACCAGGACCAGGACTGAGACTGAGCCTGAGACCGGGACCAGACCAGAACAGAGACCAGGACTGAGACCGGGACCAGACCAGGACTGAAAACAGTTCAGTCCTGGTTCAGTCCGGCATCTCAGTTTAAGTCACGTAAACAGGAAATGGCCGTTATCTATTTTTTTCCATTCTTCATTTAAACACAAAATCGAAAACTGAAAAAAACGAATCGTTATCCGTTTTTTCATTTTGGTTTTGGAGACAAATAATGAAGAAAACTGTTATTTTTTAATGTCCTTATTGAGACCGGGACTGAGACTGAGACCGGTTTTATATTGAAAAACGAATGAACAAATGATACACGGATTTATTTTGTATTATTATAATTTTTACTGAGGAAAAGTGTTTGCATCATCTCTTGCCATTACAATTCACATATTCAATTATTGTATTGTCTTTTTATTATTATTTTGAGCGTATAAGTCGGTAGAAACTATTTATTTTGAAGCTTTTACCATATATTTATTCACTTGATGTTGGTATTTTTTATAAAAAACACTGCAGTTTCAACTTCCATATCAGTATATCAGCAGTTTCTTAGAAGTGGGTGGGCAAAAACTAACAAAAAAAAACACAGATTACAATTTGATTTTTCATGCTCTGTCACCCACTTAAACTCTGACTAACAGGGTGTGTCTATTTAAGTCTAGGGCTGAATTAAAAAGAAAAGCACACAATTCCAACAGAAGAAGATTTTATTTCAGATTTTTAAAACTCTCAAAGTTTAAATGTCCTGTTTTAGCGCTGGTCTCTCAAATTGTCAGTTCACCTGGGCTACAGCTTCTTTCCCCCGTCCCAAAATGCAGCAGTTAGTAGAGATTATTTGCTTGAATGGCCCCATATAAGGTCCTATAGAGACTTTGCGCCATCACGTGTCCCCATGGCAACGGTACCTACGCCGCCATGACACCGGACACACTATGTCATTGACTTCAGTAGAAGAAACAGGAAGAAACGGAGAAACATGGGCAGGTTTTGTTGTGTATTTGGTTGTTCTAGACGCTCTGAAAGGGATAAAACAATTCGTATCTTCACTGTTCCTCTGGAAATGACTCATCAGGATCAAACAAGGAAATTATCAAAAAAAAGACGCAGATTATGGCTAGAGAAAATAAACCACAAAGAGATTTCCAATGGTACCATCAAGACACCTGAAGTTTCATCAAGGTGTTTGCTATTTCAATTGTTTCATAGTTTATTTAAGGAAAGAAGCACATTTACTGAACTAAAATTTCATTAATTTATCCAGGAAAACCCGCACTAGTTTACGATTCAATGAACCCACACTGAGCTCCTATGATCAACATGACGCATGAGTCGAAGAGTCTGTGAGTCAAACCTCGAAAGAATCGGCCATGAAAAGATCCTCGCGAACGTTACAAAGATCCACTCACAAAAAGTGATAAATTCTAGAAGACATAGTTGTGGATAAACAAAACAATAAAGAAAACATGGTCCTACGACGAGTGACATGTTTATATATGTGCGCTGGAAGATACAGTTTCTACTGCCACTCACACTGCAAATGTTTACTTTTTACATTTTAGTTCAGTAAATGTGCTTCTCACTTTAAATAAGCTATGAAACAATTTAAATAGCAAACACCTTGATGAAAGTGACGTGAGTGTGTCTTGATGGTACCATTGGAAATCTGTTCACGGTTTATGTTCTCTAGACATAATTCCCATCTTTTTTTCGATAATTCCCTTGTTTGATCCTGATGAGTCTTTTCCAGAGAAACAGTGAAGAAATTAATCATTTTATCCCGTTCAGAGCGTCTAGAACAACCAAATACACAACAAAACCTGCTCATGTTTCTCTGATGCTGCTGAAGTCAATGACACTGTGCCCGGTGTCATGGTGGCGTAGGTACTGTTGCTATGGGGGACACGTGACGGTGCAAAGCCTCTATATTATGCAAAATGGATTCTTGTGAACTTTAAGCCATGTTAGAATGTAGTTACCTCATCAAAAACATACCCAGAGTTGTGTTTTGTTCATTCACACATGTTGGAGCACGGGTCTCCAACCGTTTTCCTCTGGTGAAAACGAAAATGCCACAGAGCTTAGATGGGTTAGAATTAGATGTGAATAAAACTTAAACCATTATCCTTTTATTAGTGCACAAAGTTAAACATCACAATTTTATACACTACTGGTCACAAGGTTTAGAACACCACATTTTTTCCAGTTTTTTACCATTTACTGTTGACCAAAACATATTCTATGAAAGTGTCCACCTTTGGCAGATATAACAGCTGAACACACTTCACAATAGAACTTCTTACAATAGAAATCAAATATTCTTCAGAAAGTCTGTTGCAGAAGTTTCCATAAATGTGTGGCACTTGTAGGTTGCTTCACTCTTCTGTCCAGTTCATCCCAAACCAGCTCGATGGGGTTTAAGTCTGGACACTGTGCTGCTGGACACTCGAGGTTTTCAAGTTTTTAGTTTTTAGTTTTTTTTTCCTGAGGTAGTTTTGGCAGAGCTTGGACTTGTGTTTTGTTCTTTTATCTATTTTTTTAACCTCTGTCTGTTCATGGCGAGGAGAAAATTCAGTTTGTCGACTGAACAAAAGTTAGTTTGGTTGAAGACGTTTCGCAGCTCATCCAAGTCTTCAGCCAACTGAATTTTCTCCTCGCCCTGGATTCTACCTGGACGACTAAGGGATTCTTCACACATCTCTGTTTGTTCGTTCTTATCTTTATACCATTTCAAGCTCTTCTTTGGACTTGCATGAATAGAACTGCAATAAATAACTGGAAAAATGGGAGTGTTCTAAAACTTTTGACCAGTTGTGTATTCACAACGGTAATAGGCATTTCATGAATACAATTGGACTTATGCAGTACAACATGTATAATTCAGAAATTTCTTAGTAAGCTACTTAGAAGGGGGTGGAGATCTACCGGTTGGAGACCCTGTGCTAGAGTAACCCTGTATTTATGAGCTGTGTACATCTCCAAAGCTCAAACTGCTCTGTTCCATCTTGTGATGCCATGAAGTGGTAGTTTTCATGTTACAGCTACATTTTACTTTTTGTGCAGTAGATATAGGTACTGTATTTTCCGGGCTATTAGATGCGCTCTTAAGCCTCTAACCTCATCCAAAAATGACTGCACGCCCAACAATCCAGAGCACCCTATACACGAATCCACTCGGGTGTCCCAGCACGACTTCAGTAAACTACAAAGCCGCACCACCCGCAGAACACACAAACACACACCTAGCAGACAGCGACCGCACGGAGAAAAACACCCACAGACACACTCACGCCGACGAGGAACGGAACGAAGGAACCAACCGAAAAAGTGAGTCCAATGTGCCGCTTCTCGACACAACTGAACAACTGAGTCACTGCGAACACGACGACAATCCGTTGGTCCCAGACAGCACCCTCCCTACACGCCACAACTGAACAAAGCCCAGAGTCACCGTGAACGAACAAACAAACAAAACCACTCACCCATCACACTGTTGGGTTTCCTTTAAAGTCCAGTGTGGTTTATTTGTGAAAAAAGTTTGAAAATAGACCATTTAATGACAGTGCGTCTTGAAATCCAGAGCGCCTAATAGCCCAGAAAATACGGTAACTGAAATGATCTGAAAGGCTTTAGTGAAAGACTCTGGTGCTTAAAACCTCAGTGGAGCACCTCCTGTATTATCACATGACATCACAAGATGGAACAGGATGTGTGAATGAAACAAAACTATGTTTTTGATGAGGAAACATTACAAGGAAAATCAGAAAATAGTGTAATCTGGGCCCTTTAAATCTTTATGACTCTCACTTTTAGGACTCTCCCTGCAGCACAGACTTCAACTCTCCGTTTTCCTTTAGCTCTTTGACAATGTCCAGTCCTCCGATCAGCTCCCCCTTCACATACAGCTGCGGGTACGTGGGCCAGTTGGAGTAGGTCTTCAGCCCTTGTCGCACCTCTTCGTCTTGCAGAATGTCAAACGTGTCGTAATCGATGGCGACCTCGTTCAAAATCTCCAAAATCTGCCGAGAGAAGCCACACTTGGCTCCTTCCTTGTTCCCCTTCATGAACAGCATCACCGGGCTTTGGTTGATGATGGTTTTGAGACGGTGCTCCAGTGAAACCGCTTTGGGACACGTGCTCGCCAGCTCCCCAGATTCGGCCAGCTCTTTCACGATGTCCAGCCCCCCGATGAGCTCGCCGTTCACGTACAGCTGCGGGTACGTGGGCCAGTTGGAGTAGGTCTTCAGGCCCTGGCGGACCTCCTCGTCGGAAAGGATGTCGAAGCTGGCGAACTGGATGTCGTGCTCTTTCAGGATGGCGACGATCTGCCGACTGAAGCCACAGCGGGGCTCTTGGGGCGCGCCTTTCATGAACAGCATGCATGGGGCGCTGTTGATGAGTTTCTTCAGGCGAGCGTTCAGGTCCACGGGGCCCGGTTCAGCGGCGGCACTTCCACCGGTGACAGACAGTTTTTGAACCTAGAGGAAAAAAAGGGAAGTCTATTTAGGAGATATAAAATGACAAAATATACATAGTGCTTTTAAGACACTCAAGTAGTGTTGAAAGCTTTGGAAAAAAATATCAAATTATTATTTTTTTTGTGATTTATGTTTTAATAATAGGATTCTGTTTAAAGTTCACATTTTATTGTCAAAAAGACTGAAATATGAACTGAAGAACTAAAAGAATCATATTTCAGAACATGTTTGTACAGATCTAAACTACAGGGTTAGCAGTTTTTTAATGCAGAATAAGACTGAAGATTTTGTTGTTTCTGGAGGAAATTATGCTACCTCAAAAGTTGCTCTTTGTGAACTGTCAATTTTGTCCATTTAAATCGGGAAATTGTAGTTTTAAGGTTCTAGAATGTGATGATGCCTTTAGGGAAGTAACAATAGGGCTGTCACAATAACCGCGGTACTAAGAGGCCACTGTGGTGCATGTTGAGCCACCGCGATCACTGTGGTGCATGTTGAGTCACCGCGATCACTGCACACCAACAATTTTTAGAAACCTGCAGCTGCCCGGACCCTTTAACATTCCACCCGTTACCGCCCATGCCCCTGATAACCCAGGACTAACCCAGGACTACCCAGGACTAACCCAGCGTAGACTGTCAGGTGACCGCAACAGCTCCACACCACTCAGAGGTAAACGCAGCAGTCACCAGATCGTGCTCAGGGCTCTCTCTCTTAAGTCCGTGGGTACCCGTCCTAGTCCTGGACTCTGGACGAGCTGCCACAGTGAGAGCTGGAGAGATGCAGTGGCACTTGTTCCAAAGCCAAATGTTACTTCTCTAACGCTACACACACTACACACACTATATCCACACGGCAACCACGGTACATGTGCATCTGCAACAAGCGCATCATCGGAGAGAGTTTTCAGTGCCGCTGGAAATATTGTAACTCCAGGGGATGTGGGGTGCAGGGCGGGGGTGCGATATCACCACATATCACACTGTTGAGCCGCTATAGAGGCTTTGCACCATCACATGTCCCCCATGGCAACAGTACCTACGCCGCCATGACACCGCGCACGCTATGCCATTGACTTCACTAGCATTGGAGAGACACGGGCAGGTTTTGTTGTGTATTTGGTTGTTCTAGCCGCTCTGAAAGGGATAAAATGATTCGTTTCTTCACTGTTTCTCTGGAAACAAGGAAATTATCGAAAAAAAAAAGACACGGATTATAGCTAGCAAAAATAAACCGCAAAGAGATTTCCAATGGTACCATCAAGACACCCGAAGTTTCATCAAGGTATTTGCTATTTAAATTGTTTCATAGCTTATTTAATGAAAGCACATTTACTAAACTAAACTAAAATTTCATTAATTTATCCAGGAAAAACCGAACTAGTTTATGATTCAGTGAACCCACACTGAGCTCCTATGATCAACATGACGCACGAGTCGAAGAGTCTGTGAGTCAAACCTCGAAAGAATCAGCCATGAAAAGATCCTCGCGAACGTTAGAAAGATCCACTCGTAAAAAGCGATTAATTCTAGTTGTGGATAAACAAGACAATAAAGAAAACATGGGTCCTACGACAAGTGACATGTTTATATGTGCGCTGGAAGATACAGTTTCTACTGCCACTCACACTGCAAATGTTTACTTTTTACATTTTAGTTCAGTAAATGTGCTTCTCACTTTAAATAAGCTATGAAACAATTTAAATAGCAAATATATTGATGAAAGTACCATAGGAAATTTCTTTATGTTCTCTAGCCATAATTCCTGTCTTTTTTTCAATAATTCCCTTGTTTGATCCTGATGAGTAATTTCCAGAGGAACAGTGAAGAAACGAATCGTTTTATCCTTTTCAGAGCGTCTAGAATAGGGGTGTGCAAAAATATCGGAATATCGAAATATCCTATCGTTTAATGTGATGATACAGTATCGATATCGTGGGCTACTGTATCGATATATCACCAAGAGTATTTTTACGTGTGTTTTACTAAATTATTTTGTTACAGTGCTACAGTTTTGTTCCTTGTGGAGTGAAAGGAAACTCATTTATGCAACACATTTGACATTTTGACATGGTTTTGAGGATTAAAATGTGTTTCATGTGAACGTTGCACATTAGAAGTGGTTTAACAAAGACTTTTAGTATCACAGCCATGATTTAGCCTTTATTTTTAACTGAACTGTATCGAATCGATTTGAATTATATCATATCAAATCGAAAGTGTACTATATCGGTATATGTATCATATCGTGACCTGTGTATCGAGGTATGTATCATATCGGCAACTTCTTAATGATACCCAGCCCTAGTCTAGAACAACCAAATACACAACAAAACCTGCCCATGTTTCTGATGCTACTAAAGCCAATGACATAGTGTGCCCGGTGTCATGGCGGCGTAGGTACTGTTGCCATGGGGGACACGTGATGGTGCAAAGCCTCTATACCGCGCCGCAGGAGAAATTCCCTAACTGCACACACCCAAAGTTGTGTCAAACATATTACAATAATTCACTTATTAATATATAAAATAAAAGACACCTAACCCTGACTTAACCCTCACACATCCCACCTCCCCGGAAACAGGAAAGCCTCGAGCAGGGACCAACAGCCCTATGTAACAGTAACCAAAACATCGTGATATCGTATCGTCAAAAGTCTTGCAATAATATCGAAGGCTATCACAATATATCGAATTACAAGTCTCTTTGCTCAGATGAATAGTGATGTGTTTTTTATGTCTTTCTTTGTCATTTTAATGTCTACCTTATTCTGTAAAGCACTTTGAATTACTTTATGCATGAACTGTGCTATACAAATAAACTTGCCTTGTGTTACCATTGTGCAGCAATACCTATAAAACTAGGAAACTACAGAGACCATGACCCTTTGGTGTTTAAAGTGCAGACTAAACTAACTGTATTTCCCCAAATCTGTATTCATTAATATTGTAACTGGATTTGACTGATTAATCTTAAAGCCCCACACTCAAGGTCAGGGGTAGTCCTCAGTCATTTTCACTGTGGGTCGATTTGAGAATTGGAAAATGTGGTAGCGAATAGAAAGTAGTGTAGTTTTTATGACAAGAAGCACTACTGAAATGGAACATGTGTTAAAATGTGGTAAACCTCTGCAAGTGTGTAGGGTGATTCTGCACTTCTGTGGGTCATTTTCATTGCTGCAAACTGGGTGACGGTGAAACAGGGGACTGTTAACCACACATCCGCTGTGCTCAAAATGCTCTACTATACTCTTCCACTTGAATGTTACTGCAGTTATATTTTATGCCTGATATTCAGTGCTTACAACTTTCAATTCAGTTTGTGTTTTACAGTCACTTCATATTTGTCTGATATCAGAAATAGCAATGCTTGTCAGAAAAATCACAATTAGATCATTTCCCAGAATCATTCCATTTCCAACCACATTCATAATTAGTCCACGTGGGTGAAGTGTCTTGCTTAAGGACACAACTAAAATATGGATTTGTTGAAACTATACCTAAGGCTGGCGGACGCACGCTCTAACCACTAGGACACATTTAGTCTAGTCTAACGCGATGATCTCTTGATTAGGGGTGTGCAAAAATATTGAAATATCGATGTTATTAATGATGATACAGTATTGATATCGTCGGCTGCTGTATAGATATATCACCAAGCGGATTTTTTGGTATATTTTAGTAAATTATATATTTTGTTACAGTGCTACAGTATTGTTGCGTGTTTAGAGGAAGGAAACTAGTTTATGTGACACCTTTGACATTTTCACTGTTTTGATGATTAAACTGTTTGTGTTTCGTATGAACTTTAAACAAGACGTGGTTTAACAAAGACTTTTTGTATCACAGCCACAATTTTGATTTTTTTATATTGAACTGTGTCGAATCGATTTGAAATATATCGTATAAAATCGAAAGGGCACTGTATCGACATATGTATCATATCATATCATATCTTGACCTATGTATTGAGGTATGTATCATATCATATCAGGACCTATATACCAGGTATGTATCATATCATATTGTGATCTATGTATCGAGGTATGTATCGTATCATATTGTGACCTATGTATCGAGGAATGTATCGTATCATATTGTGATCTATGTATCGAGGTATGTATCGTATCATATTGTGATCTATGTATCGAGGTATGTATCGTATCATACTGTGACCTAGGTATTGAGGTATGTATCGTATCATATTGTGATCTATGTATCGAGGTATGTATCGTATCATACTGTGACCTATGTATCGAGGTATGTATCGTATCATACTGTGACCTATGTATTGAGGTATGTATCGTATCATACTGTGACCTATGTATTGAGGTATGTATCATATCATATTAGGACCTATGTATCAAGGTATGTATCGTATCATATTGTGACCTATGTATTGAGGTATGTATCGTATCATATTGTGATCTATGTATCGAGGTATGTATCGTATCATATTAGGACCTATGTATCGAGGTATGTATCGTATCATATCATGACCTATGTATGAGGTATGTATCGTATCATACTGTGACCTATGTACGAGGTATGTATCGTATCATATTAGGACCTATGTACGAGGTATGTATCGTATCATACTGTGACCTATGTATGAGGTATGTATCGCATCATATTAGGACCTATGTATCGAGATATGTATCGTATCATACTGTGACCTATGTATCGAGATATGTATCGTGTCATATTGTGACCTATGTATCAAGGTATGTATCGTATCATATCGTGACCTATGTATCGAGGTATGTATTGAATCATATCAGGACCTATGTACGAGGTATGTATTGCATCATATCGTGACCTATGTATCGAGGTATTTATCGAATCATATCAGGACCTATGTATCGAGGTATATATCGCATCATATTAAGACCTATGTACGAGGTATGTATCGTATCATATTAGGAACTATGTATCAAGGTATGCATATCATCAGCAACTTCTTAATGATACCCAGCCCTACTCTTGATTACTGCATAGTAAGTTCACATTTGTCTCATGCACTCCAGTAAGCTTGTGGAACTTCTCACACATGTGCAAATGAAATATTGGACGATGTAATGGCACAAATATCTGTGTGTGTTACATTATTACTGAGCTACTCTATAGGTATGATTGTATACTTTTGTGACGTGAGGAATGACAAGGCATTTCTAAATAAAATAGATTATTACTATTTATTAGACTAATACATAAGGTAAATGTGGAGGTAAATAAAACAATGTCGTAGAATGCGTTAAATTGTGGCATTAGGCCAAAACACACACATTTAGCAAGTAGCAACAGCAGCAATTTCTGATGTACCATCATTTTCTCCAGGAATAACAAAATCTCCTGTTTTATTCTGCATAAAAACATCTAATGCTGTAGTTTAGATCTGCACAAACATTCTGAAATGTGATTCTTGTATCAGTTTGTCAGTTCAAATGTCAGTCTTTCTGTGTGGGTAAAATGTGAACTTGAACAGAATCTAAACATAAATCAGAAATAGCAATGCTTGTCAGAAAAATCACAATTACATCATTTCCCAGAATCATTCTATTTCCAACAACATTTATAATTAGTCCACGTGGGTGAAGTGTCTTTAGTCAATTTTGGGTGAAGTGTCTATAGTATATTTTAGTAAATTATTTTGTTACAGTACTACAGTATTGTTGTGTGTTTAGAGGAAGGAAACTAGTTTATGTCACACATTTGACATTTTCACTGTTTTGATGATTCAAATGTTTGTGTTTCATATGAACTTTAAACAAGAAGTGGTTTAATAAAGACTTTTTGTATCACACCCATGATTTAGACTTTATTTTATATTGAACTGTGTCGAAACGATTTGAAATATATTGTATAAAATCGAAAGGGCACTGTATTGACATATGTATCATATCATATCATACTGTGACCTATGTATCGAGGTATGTATCGTATCATATCATATAATTAAATTGTGGAATTAGGCCAAAATTGAAAGCAAATGCACTTAGAAGGCCCATATTACGCTATTTTCAGATCTAGGTTATAATGTTGTTTCCTCACCACAAACAGACCTGGAGTTGCGTTCTTTTTCATTCGCACGTTTAACACAAACCCTGCTGATTTAGACTGAGACTTCTCTTAAACAGAAAACCCACACCTTGTGAGGTCTTGTGTACAAAAATATATACAAAAAGTATTCCACTGTGTTTTTAAACTTCATACACATTCATTTAAATCATTTGGATCATTTTAACCCTGGAATTGCAAATCTTCATTAAACAAAAGGCAGGCGGTAGCTGTTGCCATAAACTGGTAGTTTCTCAACAGAGGTGGAACAGAGCATTTTGAGCTTTGAAAATGTGGGCAAAACCATAATAAAGAATGACTCAGTCTCATTCATGTCTGAATGAAACAAAATACAAATCCAGATATGCTTTTGATAAGCCATTAAAACATGTCTTAAAGCTCACAAGAATCCATTTTGTGTAATATTGGACCTTTAAAGTTGGTGAATGTATGTACTAACCACTGGGACACTCTGGTCTACCTTGATAACCTCTTGATTACTGCTTATCTTATACACACACATTTGTCTCATGCACTCTATTGTACGCTTGTGGAACTTCTCACAAATATGCAAATCAGTTAGTTCTGCTGAAAAAAGTTGCAAGTTAATATTGTTAATCTTGTATAATAATGGCACAAATAACAGTGTTTTACATCAGTTTTGAGCATGCAGTTTGCAGCCTAAGGGAGATGGCTTTTCTTAGTGTCACCATGACGTTTTCAAAAGTCAGGAACAACATGTACTTTTGTGATGCTAGAATGGGACATAACACTATAAATGAGTCTAATAAATAGTAATGATATGAATAGTAATGAACACTGTAACATCATGTTTGGTCAAAAATAAGTTCATGTAATTTTGTTTATATTTGAGACCTCCTTTATCATATAAATAAACATTGTGAAAAATATTCATACTGTACATTAGGGCTGGGTATCATTAAGAGGTTGCCAATACGAGACATACCTCGATACACACTCCACGATACGATACATATCTCGATACAGTGCACTGTGCAATTCGATACGATACATTTCAAATCGATTTGATACAGTTCAATTTAAAAAAAAAATGGCTGTGATACTAAAAGCCTTTGTTAAACCACGTCTTGTGCAAAGTCCATATGACACATACACATTTTAATCATCAGAACAGTGAACATGTAAAATGTGCTGCATAAACAAGTTTCTTTCCTCTAAACAAGCAACAAAACTGTAGCACTGTAACAAAATAATTTAGTAAAATATACCAAAAAATACTCTTGGTGATATATCAATACAGCAGTCCCCGATATCGATAGTGTATCATCACATTAAACGATATTGTAATAATATATCGATATTTTGTTATTTTTGCAAAACCCTACTGTACATACTATACAGCAAAGTCACTGTCAAACTGTTTCACTGTGTAAGTGTCACTGCACGATCCTGATCAACACTAAACAGGAAATCTAAAGCTCTTCTAGATCATTTCAAACAAACACATGTTGACTGGAGCTTAGTGATATATTTTTCTTATAATGGATGGAAATCTGGGCAAAATCATGCAAATAATGATGTCAGTTTCTGCCTTTTACCTTTGCACGAAAACTTATTTTTGGCTCATGATACAAAGGCAGAGTACAGGAACTGACAAATAAGGGTCAAAGGGCAATTTTGGCTCAATATATTTTCATTATAGGAACCACTTGTCAAATTTTTGGGAGTTCTACCTACTATACTTTTGTCTGGACAAAACTGAAACTTTGCAGTATTTTTTTTTCCACTTTCACTTTCACACTCTGGAGAGTTAATGGCTTTTACTTTTGTAGGGCAGTAATACACAGGGCAAATGTGGAGGTAAATAAAACAATGTGGCGGAAAAACGGCTTTATATTGTGGCACTGGGCCGAACGTGGGCCGTGAAAGTAAATGCATTTCATTGTCATGCACATAGAATAATGCTGGTTTTGCACACTGCGCATATATTGACCTTCTTGGTGAGCTCCGGAGCGTTGGCCCCGTCCAGCCGGTCCACCCTCTGCCCCCCGCGGAAGAACACGAACGTGGGCACGGAGCTGATCTCGTACTTCTCCGACACCTCCGGCACCGCTTCGGCCTCCAGCCTCACGAACGTGCTGCCGGCGTGCTGCGCTGCCAACACGGCCATCACGTCGTTCATCTGCGCGCACTGCGGAGCCCACGCCGCCTGGAAGTGCACCACGGTCAGGCATTTCCCAGATTTAGCCAAGATTTCCTCAAACTGTTGCTGCGACGCTGCTTCCACGAGATTCGCCATTTTTTACTTCTATGTGCTTCCGGTGCCGCTGACCTCACTTCCGGCTTGCTTCTGGTAGCTTCGGAAGTGTGTGCATGTTTTGGATTCTTTTTTTAAAAATTAAGAAACAGCTGCCGACACTGGATAAGCGCGGGGAATATAGTGACTACTGAGGTAACGGATAACAGGCACGACACACGTGTTTTTCAGTCTAAATATCCGTTCTAAACGTCCAAACACGTGATTTGACGGTGTTTTTCTGGAGCCTAGCTTTAGCTTTAGCTCCTGCGCCTGAGCCGGCGGAAGCTAACGGCTCTCGTTAGCATCAGCAGCGGCTCAGAGCCAAAAAACATGTTTATGCCCCGAGAATAATGCGGGAGAATCAACCACTCTGTTTATTCTTTAGCTAAGATTCCCAGGAATTTGAAATTCAAGATAATGAGTGGTTACATGTTAAAACAGGCTGAAAGTGTCTCTTTTTGTTTTAATAATAATCTAAGCATAATCTTTGTTTATTCCAAGGCTTCACGGCCTGTGACACCTTCATGAACCAAAACAACCACGTTAATAAAGTAATCTAGTGACTTTCACACTGTATATTAAAGCTCCACTACGTAACTTTCCTGATGGTCGTCCTCCTGCTTATAATGTCATGCACATGTTATTGCTTTAGTTGGAATGTTCCACAATATGGTGGTAAAGTTGTCTATCTTGTATTTATTCAATAAAAAAAATAAATACTTGGTCTGACCATAGACTGTATAAAGAATACACATTATACAGAAGTCTAGGTTTAATGCCATAATATGGAATGTTCCAAGTGAAGCACTAACATCTGTCTGGAGAAAGAAAGTTACATAGTGCACCTTTAAGAAGGCTTTGCTGTCTGAAAACATTGCTGCCTGAAAACAGGAATTCTCACCGTTGGTGTGATGTTTTTGGTCTGGTGACTTCCTTAGCAATGCTAGTTATGAGGGTAAACTTCAGTATCATGTAATGAGCAGTTTAAATCATGAAATTCGGCCAAAGTAATGTCACAAGTGACTCACACAACAATAGATCAACACATCAGGAAGTTAGAGATGACTAAGCTGACTGCCGCACATGTCCATTTAGAAACAGATACTCTATTGATCTGAGTGAAATTCAAGTTTTGCTGCAGCAAACTGTTGCAGTTTTGCTGCAATATTTACACTGAGCTTCTGAGTGGCCTTTGTGGTTCAGTCAACTGTCTCAGGGTATATTCCACTCTCTTCGAGTGTTTTGGTTGTATTATATGATTAGATGATGTATATATTTCTCTCTAAAAGGACCACATTTGAATGTGGGAAACCCATCCACAGGAAAGACCATGAAGGCTCAGATTTATGTTGTTGACTGTAGCTAGTTTGGCTTGGTTTAGTTTAGTGGACAGATGCTGCTTAAAGTGCCGAAGTTGTAGGCCAGGGCTGTTCAAATGTTTTTGACTGAGGGCTGAAGAAAGTGTTAGTCTTTCAGATGGAAGAATTTCACATTGTTTTTACAGAACCTATGTACCTTTAGGCTTGGGACACTAGATTTTGGTCTGTATAATGACATAGTATGGTGTTATTGAGGTTATAGTTTAAGAAGAAACACTTCCAGTAAAAGTAAACACAGGGGCAGCCTTACTTTGGGAAATTTGCAAAGTGTTTTCTGAGAGAGAGAGAGAGAGAGAGAGAGAGAGAGAGAGAGAGAGAGATTTTATTTATTTATATTATTACATAATTACATTATACTATTTATTTTATTTATTTATTTTGAGGTAAGTATTTGAAATAAAAACCTCAAGATTTATTTATTTATTTGCAATTCATTTTTTGAATGTCAAAGAATCTAAAGTGCAGGTAAAAACTAACCTTTAACATCAATTTTGGTAAGTAATACTCAAGATGATGGGTATGATTAATCGATTAATCGATAATTGATCATTAAGAATTTCATTGATTACGTTCATTTTAATCGACAAACCGAATGTAGGTTGCTGTGCGTAGCGTAGAGTGACCAAACAGGGTCAGTACGTGTAGCTCTCTGCACTCAGAAGGAGCGAGACAGTCGATCAGTCTGCAGCGTACTGAAGTGCAAATGCGAATGTTGTGCAATGGTGACTTGTACAAGAAAGTCCACGCTTTCTGTTCGGGACAAGTGGGAGGCCATGTGCACAGTGTATTAAGCAGCACATATGTTTCGGTGTCCAGTGGGAAAAAGTTGCGCAAAACTGAATTAAACACATTATAATCTAAAACGGATTGATGTGGCTCTATATTCATTACGGTTTATATGTCGTAAAGTTGAATTTATTTATGCAGATTAGTAGTGCAGATAGTAATAATAATGATGATAATTTTAATATAAAAACGTTAATGATTAATCAATAATTGATCGTTAATTTTTCCGACGATCGATTAAGAAAATTTCACCAAATGCCCATCCTTACTCAAGATGAAACTTAAAATACAGGACTTTCTCTATCATAATTGTAAGTATGTATGAGCAAACGGTGAGGGGGGTTTGTGTGCATGCATGTTTGAGTCACGTTTTGCGGTAATGACATTAATGATGACGTCAGCTCCAATTGGGCAACGCAGTTTTAGGAAAACAAAACTTAACTATGTATTGCCTCATATATTTGATGTAGAAAGTAGTAGAAATCAAACAGGTCATTGCATTAAAACAGCAGGCATTTTTATATGGGACATTGTAGTGTTTCATGCATCTTCACTAATATTATTTTTGTAGTAGTGTTGTCACAGTACTAACATTTGAACATTAGATTCCCTGTCCTAGTAAGGAGGCTGTTATGTGTTGGTATGAATAAGACTAAAATCACCATAACCAGCCCACGCTCACAGGGTTTCATGATGACTTGTTTTGCAGAAGCACGATGGAGGAGCAGCCCACAGACATAGAGGTGACCGTGAAGACGTTAGATTCTCAGAGCAGAACTTACAACGTCCGAGCACAGGTGAAAACTACAACAACACTATACAGTTATGGGAAAAAACTACGACAACAACAACACTATACAGTTATGGGAAAAAACTACGACAACAACAACACTATACAGTTATGGTTAAAAACTACAACAACAACAACACTATACAGTCATGGGTAAAACAACAACAACAACAACACTATACAGTTATGGGAAAAAAATGCAACAACAACAACACTATACAGTTATGGGAAAAAACTACAACAACAACAACTCTATACAGTTACGGGTAAAAACTACAACAACAACTCTATACAGTCATGGGTAAAAACTACAACAACACTGTACAGTCATAGGTAAAAAAAAAAAATATAACAACACTGTACAGTCATGGGTGAAATTGCAAAATGATGAAATAGAAGATTATTATAAAATACATTCACTCCTGACTTTATTCCTTGTAAAGCAGGGTTATTGTGCAGTTACAATCTGTACAAATGTAATTTAAGCCAGTTAAGGTTCCATAGTGGTCCATAAGCGTATACAAGTCTATGTGCTCTTATGCTTCCCTTTTGGCCAGCACCTTTGTTAACTGTCCCTGACTCTGATTATGCTCATTATAGTGGGACTTTTCTTCTGAAAGCATTATGTAAAATTGACTTTTCAGAGTTTTGAAATGTTACAATTAATTGTTACCTCTCACTATTTATTCACCTGAAGTTGTATTTGGAGTGATTTGTGCTTACGTTTACGGTGACGTCAGCTCCAATTGGGCACCACAGTTTTAGGAAAACAAAACTGAACTATATCTTACTTCAGATATTTGATGTAGAAAGTAGTAAAAATCAAATAGGTCAATGCATTAAAACAGGAAGTATTTTTATATGGGACATTGTAGGATTTCATGCACCTAAACTAATATAGGTTTTGTAGTAGTGTTGACACAATACAAACTTTTCACTTAATTTTGATATTAAGGAATAGACACATGCCAATACTATGATTATATATTTGATATAGAAAGTAGTAAAAATAAAGACCAATATATAAATAAATAAATTCATGAATGAGAGGGTGCGTCCAAATGTTTTATTCATAGTCAGCAGTGTGAGAGATGAAGTTTGGACCTCTCATTCCATGTCTTCTGACTCACTCACTCACTCACTCACTGACTCACTCACTCACATGCCTTCTCCTTCTGCTCTTCTGCTGTGGTCCACTGAAATCCTTATATTCCCAATAAAATCATTAGGTGACCAAAATAGAAGTCTCCATTAATTGTAATTGATTCAAGGTTTAAAGGGCTACAGTCCTGCACAGAATTATTAAAACTAGTGAAAATACGTCAGTGAATTAAAACAGCAGGTATTTTTATATGGGGCATTGTAGTATTTCATGCTCCTAAACTAATATAGTTTTTGTAGTAGTGTTGTCACAGTACTAACATTTCACTTAATTTTGATATTAAGGAATAGACCCATGCCAATACTATGATTATATATTTGATATAAAAAGTTTTAAATATAAAGACCAAATAAATAAATAAAATGAAATAAATAAATTCATGAATGAGAGGGTGCGTCCAAATGTTTTATTCATAGTCAGCAGTGTGAGAGATGAAGTTTGGACCTCTCATTCCATGTCTTCTGACTCACTCACTCACTCACTCACTGGCTCACTCACTCACATGCCTTCTCCTTCTGCTCTTCTGCTGTGGTCCACTGAAATCCTTATATTCCCAATAAAATCATTAGGTGACCAAAATAGAAGTCTCCATTAATTGTAATTGATTCAAGGATTAAAGGTCTACAGTCCTCCACAGAATTATTAAAACTAGTGAAAATACGTCAGTGAATTTAAACAGCAGGTGTTTTTATATAGGACATTGTAGTATTTCATGCACCTAGACTAATATAGTTTTTGTGGTAATGTTGTCATTATACTAACATTTCACAAAATTTTGTTATTAAGAATAGATCCATGCCAATCTTATGATGATAACAAAAAAAAAAACACACCTTCTGTATGTAACAGTGTGTGATTTTCCACATTGAATGATAGTACTTTCTTTTCTATTCCCATGTTGTTTCATATATACTAGTCTATGTGCTCTTATACTTGTTCTGATACAGCTCAAGATCATTCTAAAACTATTAGGGGTGTGCAAAAATATTGAAATATCGATATATTGTATCGTTTAATGTCATTATATATTATCAATATCGCGAGCTGCTGTATCAGTGTATCACCAAAACAATTTTTTGGTATATTTTACTAAATTATTTTGTTACAGCGCTACAGTTTTGTTGCTTCTTTAGTGGAAGGAAACTCGTTTACGCGACACACTTGACATTTTCACTGTTCTGATGATTAAAATCGGTGTGTTTCATATGAACTTTGCGCAAGAAGTGGTTTAACAAAGACTTTTAGCATCACAGCCACAATTTAGCCATTATTTGTTACTGAACCGTATCGAATCGAATTGAAATATAGCGTATTGAATTGTATCGAATCGCAAACTCACTGTATCGGGATATGTATCGTTGCCTATGTATTGGGGCATGTATCGGGTCGGCAACTTCTGAATAGTTTTTAGGGCTGGGTCCCTAAAAACTATTCAGGAAAGGCTCATTTCTGTCCTGTCCTTTGTAGTAGTTTAGTAAATTCCTCACTCTGTGTTGTGTGTTTTGCTTTGCAGCTGACAGTGAAAGAGTTCAAGGAGCACATAGCGCCCTCTGTTGGCATCCCCATTGACAAACAGAGGCTGATCTACCAGGGCCGTGTACTGCAGGATGACCGCACGCTTCACGACTACAGTAAGGCACTAACAGCATCGATACTTTGCAGTAACATCATGCTGAGGGTGTTCTACATGTATCTCTATTGGCAAAACTTAAAACAGTTACCAGTTACATGTGAGAGACTTGCTTAAGCTCACGAATCATCTCACCTGCTGGAGTTCCAACCCAGTCAAAGTATCAATAACAGATGAACACATTATATTCTGGATTAGAGATGATCAAACAGCCTGAAGCGTTTATATCGGGGATCGGACGAGACGAGACGAGATTTAACTGAACTAATACATAAATAAATAAATGGTGCCGTTCACTTTACAATTTAAAAGTTGTATGGAGGATTTTTTTTGTTTTGTTTCAAATTGTAAATGAAAGTTCAAAATGGCATTATAGAGATGGAGCAGCTTTGTAATTATGATGTCCCCCCCCAAAAAAAAGAATGAAAATCCATCAGTTGTAGACGTGGTGGGGCCAGCTAAACATTAGCCAATAGAAAATGAGGCTGTCACGTTATCTATTGCCTGTAGGTTGTCAATCAAACTCCCTACGTTTCTAGTGTAACTTATTTGCCGGCGCTCTGGGATTGCATGGTTTACGTTCGTCTCTCCCGCATTCCACATACACAAGACGCCATTTACTCAAACAACACAGCGGTTCTTAGCGGCTTTTGTCAACTGGAGCTTCTTCACAGTTAGCACAGGTTTGTTGCAATGGCAGACAAGACCGTTTTTGAGGTCGCTGAAAGAAGAAGAGAAGGGGAAAAGGAGCGAAGCCAAACTAAGGTGATTCTTGGAGATTCCCTCCAGCGATGGTGCACTGAAGCAGACGAAGGGTCTAAAAAGTGTTAACCCTGTCATTCAATCAATCAATCAATCAATCAATCAAATTTTATTTTTAAAACACTTTTTATTTAAAAAAAAAAGTAACACAAAGTGCTTTGTGATGATTAGTAGACCAGGGTTATTTTCACAGAAGAGAAGTCCTGAGGGCAAATTTGAGGAAAAGTTTACTAAGATGAATGTTGAGTTCTAAGCATTCCAATTTGCATATTAATATGGAACTTGTTTTTTCCATTTTTAAAAATTTAAAAATGTCTAACGTAATCAATAAAACAAAATAACACTGGTCTCAGAATATATGAGTGTTAAAATAGTGCAGGAGTCGTAATATGATATTTTTATGTCCTCTTTAGAAGCATTAAGGGCTTTGTGTGCTAGCTGCACTAATATATCTGAGTGAAGGTGTAAGGCTACATTCTGTCACGTTTAGAGCATTTTACATTTGCAAAGTTGTTTAATAGAACAAAGAACCATATACAAAAAATCCAAACAGACACTGAAAATGACAGAATGATCCAACCAAAACTGGACTCAGCAGACTGCACCTATGACACCCGGAGCTTACTCCCAGACCATTGCCTGTACCTGGATTCTCCATCAGACCTGGTCCCTGCTGGGCCCTGCTACTCCCTGGTGAGCCACCTCCAGACAAGAATCTCTGTCTGGGGTGGTTTCCTTCTGTTCTTGCCTCTGTGCCACCGCTGGACATAGTTCTCTGTCCGGGGTGGTTACCTGTTCCCCGAGACCTCCCTGTGATGTCACACAGCAGCTGCTTCCTGCTCATCTCCTGGACTCCATTAAGCAGGTTTTTGCTCCTCACCTGAGGCCCTCTTTACACACTGTCTTGTCTTTGTTGGGGTCCATGTCCCCTAGTTCTCTGGACTCGTCACTGCAGACTTCTGAGCTGTCACCTTTACATGTGGAGTCTCTGGGTGTTTCCAACCAGCCCCTGCCGCTGTTGGATTTTAATTTTTTTTTCCCCGAAATCTACTGGTTCTCCCTTCTTAGCCTCTGGACCTTCCTGGTTGTTTTCTAGTTGGTCCTCCCTCCACCCTTCCTGGTCCGTGTGTGATCCGCCTCTTGAAGGGGGGATAATGTCATGGTGTTAATTTTCATTGAATTATTTTATTATTACTGATTGGATTTTTGTGTTTTTGTGTATCATTCTTTGTTATATTAAAGTACTTCGCAAATGCAGTCCTGCATTTTGGGTCCTCCGTCTGCTCTAAACGTGACAACATGCACCATTGACAGGCCTATAGACAGGTATTCAATACTCCATCCAATCCTTTATTGATTAATTTAGACACTGGAATATGCGCAAATTCACTTGGCAGAAGCACTGTTTGTCTTCATTTCGTAGTTTTACAAATTCATAAAAGTCAGTGACATGAGGCTCAATGTATTCATTGAACATCAATATACGACTGAGAAATGAGTGTAGGATTTCAACACCTTTGGCAGCAAGTGAGCAGTAGTGAGTAAACCTTTTTCAGTTCCAAAACATGCCCATTTGCTGCAGACTTCCTTAAAGGGATAGTTCGGATTTTTTGACATAAATCTGTATGGCATCCCCATCATCAGTGTTGTGCATCCACACCGACTTACCCCCGAAAGCGTCCGGTGAGCCGAGATACTGGCCCGTTTTGGTGCTGAGGAAAGTAGTTCGGCAAGTTGTGTGGGGACTGTTTACTAAAGCGTTTTTCTTCTCAAAGCAATATGTGTTCAAAAGAGTGATACATTTGCATCACAAAACCATCGTCGCCAAAAAAGTCAGACCTCATAATCGCTTGGCGCTATTTTCTCTCCGTACGTACCACTGCGCGCGGCCGCCAGGTGACAGCCGCGCACGGATCCATCACTTTGTTCAGTTGTTCGGCAGTGTTTACATGCGCAGACCGCCGCCACGCGAGAGAGCTAACGAGAGAACTAGAGCCATAAGTATATGAGCTTGTATAAGATACATATAAATATATCTAAAAAATGGTGCGAACTCTTGATTATCCAGGCTGTAACAACATAAATCTGGCTGAATCTCCAAGCACATTTCACTGTTTTCCTGTCACGGACTTTGCGCTGAGGAAACTTTGGCTTCTTGCCTTTGGCTTCAATGTGGAAACCAAACCAAGTAAGAACGAAGAAGTGCCGCTATGTTTACAAGAGAACAGACTCAAGAATCAGCTGTAACTCTGTGTGCAGTAAATCATTCAGTGTCATATCACCAGTGAAGCTTCTACAAAACGTAACTTTATAAGTCGACTGTTATTACTATTGTAAATGTTGTGTACACTATTGTCAGCAGCTACGTGGACGTGTGGATGATTCTATGTTTCTATTAGTCGTCCATACTTCAGTCACAGTGTCGGCTCTATGTTCGCTGTATATGAGTTTATAAATGACGTGATGGTGATTGTCGCTCACTCGGTCTCTCACGGCTCCAGCTTCAACTTGTACCACTTCTCTGTCTTTTCTCTCTCTCTCTGCCCGTTCTAACTCCATCTGATGAAATTCGGCATCAGTATATTCGGGTTCATAAAGATCTCCCCTTGGGTTTGTGGTAAAGGCAAAGTCTTTATTGTCGGTGTCATACAAAAATGGGGAAAAAAATATATTTTCAAACTATAGACCAATTTCAATACTCTCTCAATTCTCAAAAATAATAGAAAAAATATTTGTTCATCGATTAGATAAATTCATAGAAAAATATGAGCTCCTAAGTGACCATCAATATGGATTCAGGAAAAATCGTTCCACCTCAATGGCTGTTATGGAATTGGTAGAAAATTTATCTACAGCAATTGATTCAAAGAAATACAGTGTGGGTATCTTTATTGACCTTAAGAAGGCTTTTGATACCCTCGACCATAATATATTATTGCAAAAATTAGAAAGATATGGACTGCGAGGACCTGTGCATGCCTGGTTACAAAGCTGTCTACAAAACCGATACCAGTATGTTGAAATAAATAATAAAAAATCTGTATTGTTGAAAGTAAATTGTGGAATTCCACAAGGCTCGACGCTTGGGCCAAAACTATTTATTATGTATATAAATGATTTATGTTCGGCATCAAAAATGTTCAATTATGTCCTCTTCGCAGATGATACCACCCTCTACTGCTCAGGTGAAGACCAAAGGCAGCTTTTTCAAATGGTGGAGAGGGAGCTGCAGAAAATAAAAGTTTGGTTTGATATTAATAAATTATCGCTAAACATAGAAAAAACTAAATTTATGGTATTTGCAAAGCGAAAAGTACAAAATCATGTACAAATTATGCTCAATAATCCACCACTAGAAAGAGTCTTTCAAAATAAATTTTTAGGAATAACCATAGATCATAATTTAAAACTGGAAATCACACATAAATACAATTAGGAACAAACTATCCAAAGTGATCGCAATTATATATAAATATAGATATACCCTAGATAAAAACAGTCTTTTTATTATATATAACTCGCTGGTAATGCCCTACATAACCTACGGTATTGAGATTTGGGGGCAATACATATAAGACGAATACAAAGCCAATCTTTACCCTACAAAAAAAGGCAATAAGAGCAATCACATTATCAACTTATAACGAACCAACCAATGCATTATTTATAAACCTTCAAACGCTGAAATTTTACGATTTAGTCGACCTGTACACTCTTAAAATCATGTTCAAAGTAAACAACAATCTCCTGTCGAAATCGTTACAGAACATGTTCAAAATCCGAAAGAGCCGATATGAGCTCAGAGGCACGACCATGTTTATTAAAAAAGAAAATCAGAACAAACATTATGAAATTTTGTAAATCTGTTAAAGGGGTGGAGCTCTGGAACAACTGTACAGAAAACCTAAAATTGTGCACCACTTTCTTTCACTTCATAAAGAAGTTTAAATGTTTAACTCTGGACAGATACATGAAATATGAGACTTAGTTTGTGCTGTAATACTTTATTGTTCTGTTACTGATTAGCTTGTTTCTTCCTGCTGTATTTATGAAGATGAACTGGTGTCAAGATGAAGCTCTGACAAAGGAATAAAGGGTAGGCATAATAAGCTTAAGCTTCAGCCTGCACCTTTTCGGTCTGTATATGTTAAATATGACTGTTTATGAATTCATGTCAAAATATACCTGTGACCGAAATAAATAAATAAATAAATAAATAATCAGACATGTTGTCGCTAA